TATGACACTAGTTCCGGGGTTTGTTCACGGTGTACATTCAGATTGTCCAGTCGGGTTTTTCCTGTATATTATACAGGGTATTGTAGCTCTTTCAAAAGATCTTGTTGTCCATTAATTGTTCTTCAACATTTGTACACAAACTCTGTTTGATCTTAAGCTAGAGATGGTTGTATGAACTCTGTTTGTTGATATTTCAGGTTTGGGATGTGGAGGTAGTCTGACGGGAATAAACGGAAGTCTGACCAGTCCAAATTTTCCAGGAAATTTTTCGGATGTGCAGACGTGTCAATGGTCGATAACTGTACCAGCACGGAGAACGATAACATTAACATTTAGAATGTTAAGTGTAATAGGCGTGGCCGATTGTTCCAACAATTACGTGTCCGTCTACAATGGTAACAATGCGTTATCATCAACACCAACATTCGGCAGATACTGTGATGATGTAAGTATTTCATAGTCTGTATATAATGGGGGGTGGGGGGCGAGCTATTAAGAATACAGCTAATGGCATTCAGAGACTCTAACATGGACAGAAAAATGTTGCTAAGTAACCAACCTATGTTTTTTTATTATGTTTTCAGTCTGATGTTGCCAGCATGACTACGACATCAAATACAGCTTATGTTAAATATGTTTCAACTGGTTCCAGTAACGCACCCGTATTCAGGCTATCTTATACCAGTTAATACAAACAAGTTTCACTGATAATAATATTACAGTGTATCTCAAGTGTCAAATTCTTAATAAAAACATTGATTTTTTTATTTTAAACTTTTATATAAAATCTCAATTAAATTTAAGATATCCATCATCAAGTTAAATATTGATATTCACTATCAAACTGAATTACACCAGCAAGCCGAATTACAATATTCACCATCGAGTTGGATTACAATATTCACTATCAGATTGGATTACAATATTCACCACAAGTTCAATTACAATATTCACCACGAGTTCAATTACAATATTCACCACCAGGCCGAATTACAATATTCACCACCGAGTTCAATTACAATATTCATTATCAGACTGAATTACAATATTCACCACGAGTTGAATTACAATATTCACCACGAAGCTGAATTACAATATTCAACATCGAGTTGGATTACAATATTCACTATCAGATTGAATAACAATATTCACCACAAGTTGGATTACACTATTCACCGTTAAAGAACAACTGTAAGAACAAATTGCTTACATTGTATTCGAATTGTAATTGTTTCTTTACTTAAATTGTAATTGACCCCTAGTCTTGTATTGTAATTGTTTCTTTACTTGGATTGTAATTGACCATAAACTTGAATCGTAATTGACCCAATACTTGAATTGTAACTGACCCTATACTTAAACTGTAATTGACCCTATACTTGAATTGTATTTGACCCTATACTTGGATTTTTATTGTCCCTATACTTGAAATATAATTGACCCAATACTTGAAATATAATTGACCTTATACTTGAATTGTAATTGACTCTTTACCTGAATTGTAACCCTGTTATTGATACGTTATTGTAATTTACAAATTTTAAACATTCCAGATGAAAACTTTAAATATTTATCTTTCTATTTATACATATATATATATATAGTTTCTATATTTATTTGTTGTTTATTAGGTTGTCATGGAAACCTGTTTATTTTTGTTTATTATGTAAATAAATTGTAATCAACCCCTGTATGATATTAATTGTGTTGTATAAGGAATGATCATCTTATTTTAGGGCCCTAAAATTACATTTCACTTGTATATATATATATATGTGTAGAATAAAATATTTCATATGGATTTCACTGATAGATTTTTGATGGTTTTATTCTCTCTACCACCCCCCCCCCCCCTTCCCGCCATGCCAATCTAACGCTGCTTGATAGTTTTATCCACCCCATGCCTAATCTAACTGGTTGATAGTTTCATTCACCCCCATGTCTAATCTAACGTGGAATCCATAAAGTAAACTTGATATTGACCGTTCCAAGGGATTGAAGGCTTACACCAGTCAACGAACAGTGCCTCCAAATTCAGTGCAAGAGCCCCTGAACTAAGGGACATGGGTCTTTAGCGATGGTGTCTTCCCATCCATGATGATTGTCATTTATAAACAGGCCAGGTATATTCAATAAAGATAGGCTGCCTGGCAACGAAACATACGCCCACAGGGACTAAGTTGTCTGGGCAGTCAACAAAGGTTTTCGCATACATGTATATCTTTCTTGTCAGTAATGAGAGAGAGAGAGAGACATGGGGGTTTAATGTCCACTCGACACAAACTAGGTCATTTCGGGACTAACATATGGTTTTATTTTATTTCAATAATTCGCTTGCGCGTAGGGGTCTTTAGCAGTGGGAGGAAACCGGAGGACCCGGAGAAAACCCACGAGGTTGGACAGGCGACCCTACTCCTTGTCACGTACAACCGGGGATTCAAAACCACGCCAGTCGACTCAATGACAGACTTTATGATACAGCGCGCGCACGCTAACCATTCAGTCATCCAACCCCCCTTGTCAGTAATGAAAACATTTACAACACATGAAGTCATTAGAATTTATTTCGATTGTTTCTCTCATGACCCTAAACACTGTGTGTATAAATTTATATTAACCTTAGCCTATAGAGCGCCCACAAGATTTGTCAAGGTAATTAAGGGCCATAACCCTGGCAGAAATTATCGGAAATCGTTAAAAATCATTAGGATTCTTCGTCGCATAACCTTAAACACTCTATAGAAATTTAAAGTCAATCGGAAGATATTTTAAAGTAATCAAGGGTCATAACTCTGGCAGTAATTATTGGAAATTGTTGAAAATTAATAGACTTCTTTGTCTCATGACCTGTGTATGAATTTAAAGACAATCGGATATTAATTATATCCTCTAGAGCGTCCACAAGCAATTGTGGACATCAGACCGACCGAACGACAAGGCGACGACAATAAACGACCACATTTTAATGTGGGCGTATAAAAGTGAATTCCATGAGTTTTCATTTCTAATTTTCGCTTGGGACAAAAAAAAGCGAGGTCATATTAATATGTAAACATTGGATTTCGATATAAGCCCCTGTGATCCAAGCTAGTTTGTGAATAGAGTCGGCTACTTAATAGGACGATGAATGGCTGATTTTTTCTAACACTAGGGCATCAGAGCAGAGCATGTGGGCGTATCTTGCATGGCAACCGCTTGTTTTCTAACACCAGGGCATCAGAGCAAAACGTGGGCTTATCTTGCATGGCAGGCGCTTGTTTCTAACACCAGGGCATCAGAGCGGAAAATGAATGAAATGGGTTTTAGGTCCTACCTTTCCGCAGCAACCAGGAAATTGAAGATCAGCATACGTCATGCTATAAGGAGAATTTTGCCCTGAAAGCTGCGCTTCAACCCATCCTTCATAGAATTCCAACTGTACGTCAATTTGTACACATGCTCAGATTTTCGTCCCATCCATTATTCTGTGCCAGATCAACCGTCCTGCACCATTTATAAATGGAGACGGGTGGAAAAATCCCAAGAAACTTTCTTCGACAACACCTGAATCAAACCGATGTGAGCCCCTGGGCAGTGAGCCAGAGTTTGTAACGTTTTCGGCTCATCTATACAAGTGGCAGAAGTTGCGATCTCTGTCAGAGGACGGCCAGATGCCTAACCTCATAGGTTCCCCACCCCCTCTGGAGGAGAACCAGATGCCTAACCTCATGCCACCGCTCCCTCTGGAGGAGGGCCACATACTGAACCTCCGGAGGACCACATGCCCAACCTCATGCCCCCGCCCACACTCTGAAGGAGGGCCACATATTGAACCTCATGGTTTCTCCAGTCCCTCTGGAGGAGGACCACATGCCTAACCTCATACCCCCCACAAACACACATTCTGGAGGAGGGCCACATACTGAACCTCGTGGGTTCTCCAGTCCCTTTCCCTCCTCCAGAGGGACTGCTGGTCACCACATGCCTAACCTCATACCCCCCCCCCCCCCAACATTCTGGAGGAGGGCCACATACTGAACCTCGTAGGTTCTCCAGTTCCTCTGGAGGAGAACCACATGCCTAACCTCATGCCCCCCCCTCCCCTGCCCACACACACACACTGAAGGAGGACCACATACCGAAAAACATAGGTTCTCCAACCCCTCTGGAGGAGGACCACATGCCTAACCACAAGGGTGCCCCCCCTCCTTCCGAGGAGGTCCACATGCTTAACCTCATGGGTTTCCCCCTTCTGTATAAAGAACATTAAGATTTATATGTACAATGGGAAGCAGTATGTCCACCTACTATTCTTCATATTCCAATTACCAAGGGTTCTTTTATGTGCACAATATTTACATGATTGACCTAAGTTTGCCGCCCAAATTCGAACCGCAAGATACACCATACTTGTCAATCCCGTAGGCTCCTTCCCTGACAAGTTTACCTTGGCCCTGATAGTTCTACTACCTTGGCCTTATTGCTTGACTGTCCTGGCCCTAAACCATCGACTACCTTGGCCTTATTGCTTGACTGTCCTGGCCCTAAACACTCGGCTACCTTGGCCTTATTGCTCGACTGTCCTGGCCCTAAACACTTGACTTTCCTGGCCTTACTACTTGACTGTCCTGGCCATAAACACTTGACTTCCCCGGCCCTAGACATTTTAAATCCCTGGCCCCGAAGGCTCAACTACCCTGGCCCTGAATGCCCTGGTCCTAAATGCTCGACTACCCTAGCCCTAAACACTCGACTACCTTGGCCATAAACACTCAACTCCCTTGGCCCTAAACTACCCTGCCCCTGATTGTCCTGGTACTAAACACTCGACTACCCTAGCCCTAAACACTCAACTCCCTTGGCACTAAACACTTGACTTCCCTGGCCCTGGTTGCTTTACTGCCCTCAAGGCTCGACTACCTTGGTCCTGATTGCTCTTGATCCTGATCATTCAACCACCTTGGCCCTGATCGCTGGACTACCTTGACTACCCCTATCCCAGAAAACACAAGACAAAGAACAATGTTTTAAATTGTTTAATATAAGAGCAGTTTGTATAAAAAAAATATATATTTTACAAAAAAATCTACAAATAAGAATAATAAATATATAATAATATATATCTCTATATTTACATGATCTAGTAGAACCATAAAAAATTATTATTATTATTTTTTTGAAATATACAAATACGATACACGTAGGTCTAATTATTATAACATGAACAGACGTTGAGAGAACATTGAATAACATTGACACGTCTTACTATTATTGGGGGGTTGGGTGGTTGAATGGTTAGCACGTGTGCGCTGTACCATAAAGTCTGTCATTGAGTCAACTGGCGTGCTTTCGAATCCCCGGTTGTACGTGGCAAGGAGTAGGGTCGCCTGTCCAACCTCGTGAGTTTTCTCCGGGTCCTCCGGTTTCCTCCCACTGCTAAAGACCCCTACGCGCAAGCGAATTATTGAAATAAAATTAAACCATGTGTTAGTCCCGAAATGACCTAGTCTGTGTTGAGTGGACGTTAAACCCCATCTCTCTCTCTCTTACTACTATTAGCAGTGATAACAGTTTTCAAAATACAAATGTGACATCATCCTTTCATGTTGGCGTATCATCATTTCAAATAATGGCACGGGCAATCTTACTACTATTAGCAGTGATAACAGTTTTCAAAATACAAATGTGACATCATCCTTTCATGTGGCGTATCATCATTTCAAATAATGGTACGGGCAATGTGCCAAGCGTACATTTTTATAATAGTTAAAATTTTTGTGACGTAATTTAAGTTGTTTAATGGTCTCGAGCTTATGACATTACTGTGAAATATTCAAGGACCCAGTACTACATGTAGTTCTATTATGGAGACGGTTTGAGGTTATCTACGGGACAGTAATCGCAGGCACATTGTAAAATAAGCTATAAAACTAAATATAAAAAAAGATCAATCTTGGAACAGGAACTGGGTTATATATGTATATACTGGAGTGTTCAAAGATTATAGAATAAAAAAGAAGATTTTCATACTAAGTAAATGTACATAAAGCAAATACTGTCATTTAAATAATGCTAAAAATGCTAACACCATACATCGAAGGATGATCACATGATCTGAACACCTTTAACAAAGAAATAGTCAGATTCTAATTTACATGTACAGGTAAAACTGATTATAATACAGATCTATATTTCGTTTCGTTTCGTTTTTTATACTTTCGATGGCCTACACTACATGAAGATCTAACAAGTTATAGCGATAGGTCACGTCAGGGGTCGTACGAGCGGCTTTTGACCCTATGACGTCAGACATTTGATTAACCAATCAGCATTGATGTGGATAGGATTACCCACAGTTCCGTGAAAAACACGCCTAAAGCTCGCCGTAACAGGACGTTTCATTGGCTAATATCTTGCACCATTCAGAACATGTCAATGATAACAACTCTTCCAGATCCCAGTGTAGTAAAGACAAGTAAAACGAAATTTTGAACTATATAAAATGAAACGAAATAGGATCTGTGTTTTAATCAGATTGAATGGTACAAACATAACATAATAAATAAACCAGGTTGCATAAATATGTAACTTCTGGTCACATGTGCACCAACGAGAATATATACTTGTATAAAATAAAATAAAATAGGGTTTAACGTTCTACTTTTATGCACCATGTAAGATAACAAAGACGTCGTTCAGATCTGAACATCAGTCTTGACCTGTACAGGATTAAAGGAGACATCCGTTCAGATCTGAACAAGGTCTTGACCTGTGCAGGATTAACGTGGAGACATCCATTCAGATCTGAACATCAGTCATGACCTGTGCAAGATTAACGGAGACATCCGTTCAGATCTGAACATCAGTCTTGACCTATACAGGATTTATTGATTCATCCGTTCAGATCTGAATTAATGAAAACTGGCATACGCCATGCAGTGTGCTTTGAGGGAAACATCTGCGGCATATTCATCTATTGGTACTCTTCCGCCTGTACAATACTTGTATATAAATTGTGTATTTCACGGTGTTTTAAAGTTACAATTTCATATTTTCTAAGAAAGTCAAAACATAATTATTTCTATGTCTTTTGCTCAATAGGTTGTCAACTCACTATTATACGATCATAGGTATCATTCTCACACTTAAAAACCATTGACACAGGAAATAATAACACAATTACCTCCCTTGTTTTCAAATGACAATAGTGAATTATAGGATTAATAGAATTATTCTTTAACAAGGTAGGACTGTTTATAGATACCATCTATTTTAAGGCTTTATTTTAATAAATTTTAAAAATAAAACTTAAAAATATGAAATTTCATCTTTAAAGTAGCTAAATCTCTAACTCAATATCATCCTAAGTCTTTGACATTGAAAACACGAATTATTTGTCAATTTAAATCAACATTGATGTTTTGATCTTACCGGGAAAAGATGGGGTTCTGATATCCAATATGTAAGATAAAATAAACATTTTACCATTGGTACACGAATCGTGTACCATAATGCGTTTCAGTGCCATTTGTAACAAGGGACTCGAAGAACAAGGCTAGACATATTCCAGAAGTCATTTCAAACAGTGACGCCATATTCTTATCTGGAGAGCATGCACAATAAACACTAACGACATAGACTGGAATAACCAGATGCTAGTGATTGCCATTCGATTGAGACTTCTGGCATATTTCACCGAACAAGCAACCCGAGAAACGGGGTTAGACATATTGCACAAGTCATGTCAAACGGTGACCCCATATTCTTATCTGGAGAGCATGCGCAATAAATACTAACGGTATAAAATGGAATAACCAGTCGCTAGAGATTACCATTCGATTGAGACTTCTGGCGTATTTTGCCGAACATAACTGCTTTGAAATTACAGTAAAAATGGAAACGATTGAATGTAAATCAGTTTATATACATTCATATTACATTATTTTATGTGTTGCGACCCATTTATGTTAATTTCCAGGTCCCAAATATTAGCGATTTATATATTTCCTTTAATGAATAATCCAGCATCTTTCCCTACAGCAACGACCATTGCTATTGGTTCCAAGAAAGATAATTTTAAGCATTTCGATGAAAATGAAAAAAATATTTTCAACAAATAGTTTAAATTATTATGTCTTATCTTAACAAAATTATAAAAATATAAACAAAATAAACAAAGTCCATGAGATTTTATAACGTTTATGGAATTAACCATTTTTCAATGAGTGCATGGCTCGTACAACATAGTAAAAAGATTAAAGATACATTATGGGGGAGATAAGGTAAAGAGTTGGCAATTCTCAATTTAATAGTTAAAATTAAATAATGTAAAGGGGGTTTGCTGAAAATTTCAATCAAATTGATTAACTCTGAACCGAGAATTTAGCGATTGAATTTTAGCCTCATAAATCATTACTAAAGTACATAAAAAACATGTCTCAATTATCAATTTTTTTATTTAATCATCAATAAAAGTTGAGAGGCAAATGGGATCCTAATTCAGTAAATATCGCAGGCTAGCGATGTCATCAAGAGTGGATTATGCTCTGGATAAGTTAAATAATGTCTAATTAATAATTTAGATAACATTTCAGGCCTAAAGAAAGACCTGCAATAGGCAGATTTAGCTCTTGCATAATGTATGTTTAATTTTGACTTGAAAACTTCACGCTTGTCAATGTCATGGGCGTGAATAACAACGAGACCTAATAATACGTGGAAATTTGCCACACCTTTTTGACGGGAGAAAGCTCTATCGATGTAATTTTAAAATGTATAGACACGTATCTTGTGCTGTATATCTTATAACAGTTGAGAAATGAGTGTTTTTCTCTTTTATATTCACATATACACAGGACTGGTACATGTGTAATAACAGTTGTAATTTTAACTGACAAATGTCAGGCATTAATGGACACGTATCTGATGTCAGGCATTAATGGACAAGTACCTGATGCCAGACATTAATAGACTACTGGTATCTGATGTCAGGCCCTAATGGACAAGTACCCGATGTCAGGCCCTAATGGACAAGTACCCGATGTCAGGCCCTAATGGACAAGTACCCGATGTCAGGCACTAATGGACTACTGGTACCAGACACTATTTTAAACTTTGTGTCAGACATGTATCAGTATTAATAAAACAGACAAATGAACGGCACTGGGCGGGAGGTTTTGTGCGTGACAAAGTCAGATATCTTGCGTGACAAGAGTCTGAAATTGTGCGTGACAAGTGTCGTATCCCCTAGCTAGTCATAAACATACATGTATACTGTAGGTCTATATTCGGGCCTGCACAGAAGGCACTGGTCATCGATGTTTTCAGGCATGAATACCCCACAACCTATATATTTTAACATGTAAGTTATGTGATATCGTGTGTCTGACAATGTCTATGGCCGGTCTACTAACATTTATTGGATACTGTATTATACATGTATATTATGTACATGTATAACACTATGATATTGTATTGTACATGTACATGTATATTATGTACATGTATAACACTATGATATTGTATTGTATATTATGTATAACATTATCAATCCGATTCAAATACAGATCTATATTTCGTTTCGTTTTTTATACTTTCGATGGCCCTCACTACATGAAGATCTGAAAAGTTGTAGTGGAAGGTTGCGTCAGGGGTCATACGAGTTGCTTTTGACCTTATGACGTCAGACATTTAATTAACCAATCAGAGTTGGTATTACTAGTGGGTTACCCACAGTTCCGTGCATCTCGCGCCAAAAACTCGCCATAACAGACCGTTTCATTGGCTAATAACTCAAATCATCCAGAACGCGGGTTATATAACAACTCTTTCAGATCCTAGTGTAGTAAAGACAAGTAAAACGAAATTTTGAACTATAAAAAAAACGAAACGAAATAGTATCTGTGTTTTAATCAGATTGAACACTATGTTGTGAAACGATTTTACGCTGCAAAACACAGCTCTAGTAAAAACATATGTAATATATCAATTTTATAGAAGAAATATGAAGAACACAGACAAGGCCAAACAAAATAATATTCTGTTTCTCAGACGATCCTTCCTAATAATTAATTAGCAATTGAAGATACATTATGTAAGATTTGGATAAAGAGCTAACCATTCTCGCTATAATAGTCCGAAAATAGATAATATAAAATGAATAATTTGAAAACTTCGTTCAAATTACTCTATTGTGAGTGAAGATATTAGTCTTTGAAGGTTTGACAAGACGTGTGTAATAATTGCAACCTCCTCCATTTTTAGATTAAGTCAAACATGGAAAGTTGAGTATGGTCTTGTCATGTTAATAAATGTCTAATTAATAGGCAGATTTAGCTCTTGCATAATGCACCTTTTATTAATAATAATAAAAACAGGTCATGCAGATATTTTTAAGTGCTGCAAGAGCATCAGAGAATCTGGCCCCAAGTTCACAAAGCATTCTCAGACTTAAGTTGAGAATTTACTCAAACTTGTTCACCTTATTTTAACTAAATTATAGCCCTTTATAAAACTTTTCTTGTTTTAATGTATCAAATACATCTATAAGAAACTATGTGCAAAGTTTTGTGTTTCTATATCAAAGACATTTCTCATAAACAGTGATTGGAAGTTGAGCAAATTCTCAATTTAAGTCTGAGAATGCTTTGTGAACTTGGGGCCAGAATGTTTTTAAGCATGGCTTTCTATTCAATAAATTACTGCATGTACCCCCTATACAACATTTCAACCACATTGGCTGAATTGTCGATGGTCATAATGTTGGTCTTCCCCCTACCCCACCCCCCTTGTATATTTGTGTATAACAATATCAAAATAAATATTTTCTTAATAAAAATCAACAGTCATGCTTTTTGGCCGGTGGTAAACGTCGTATAGAAAATATAAATATAATCAGAGTATTAATTATTACAACTAACAAAAATATACCGATCGTGTCTCCAAACGAGTGAAATTCCCACATGGGTTTTAAGTCGTTACTCCGTTCTCTCATGTCCTGTAACAGAGCTTTTAATTGGTCGAGAGTGGCCAGTATCGAAAACACGTGAAACAGTTGATGACTGTGGCCAATGATGTCGAACTGTCCCGGAAACAGACGTTCTGGAAGATGCGTTGTATATAAAAATGCAGATAGAAATGCGAACAGAAATTGACGGGCTAACAGATACTGGGAAGACAAGGTACATTCTGTCTCGCTTCCAAAAAACAATCGGTAAGCAATCGGTGAACTGTCATAAAAGAACGGTAACGCGAAAGAGCACAGCCGCAAAAATTTTCTCAGCAAACTAATTTTCAAAAATCTTGTTTCACACGATACAGTAACACATATTAAGGAATTAATAACGGCACCATATATAAAAACATCACCAAACCAAGTATTCCTAAGAGATTCTGGGAAGGCGTAGGCTCGGTACGCGATAGCGACGGCCAGACTCAGGAGACTAAGAGCAGAATAGTCGAGGAAGAAACATATATGTCTAGCTCGTTCTGACATGGTGTTGAAAGTATGAGCGACGGCGCTGGTCAACGGGAATAAACAACACACGATCATATAAACCAACAAAGGCCACGTATAACTATCATTCTGAAAATCATAAGTTTTGGATAATTGTAGAAATACCCAGAAGAAGTACAACGACGGCAAGAAATGCGTCCAGCAATTGAGGGTTTCATTCGTGGCATCAAATAAACTTAGAATACACTGTTTAAAGGAACTCTTTGGGTGTCGATAACCGTGTAGAATGTATAATTCGTGAAAATGTTCAGGAACTTGGTCGATGTCGTAAATTGGTCCACAGATTCCCAGGCTAGCAGACGGCGTACGAGAATGATGATAATGGTTCTTTTTCTCAGCTTCTCCAACCGGTTCTGAAAATATACAATTGGCAGATTTTTATGACATGAACTGTATTAAAAAAAAAAGTATAATAATAATGCTTTATTACGAAACTACAATGTACATGTACATGTACATTCTACAGTAGATATCGCTTGTGTGATAAATTTCATAATCTACTGCGATATCTCCTATCGCTTTACATGAATTTCATTGGTCAGTTAAAAAGGAACTTCTTTTTTTTATTTTCAATGAAGAGTTCATTTTTTATTAAAATTAATTTCTTTTTTAATAAAAATGAACAATTTTTATTTAATTGACCTTGATGGAAACACTGAGAGTTTGATAAATTCAGAAGCTTTGAGTGCGCCAAAACAGGGTTATTTCTATTCCATAAATCCATGCCCCCCCCCCCCCCCCCTACTACCATAGGCGTACAGGGAAATTTTTGACTGGGGGGCGGTGGTGGTTGGTGCCCCAAAAATTTAGTTAAGCTCTTAGTATGTTACATAATAATAATAAATTCGCTGTTAAATTGGACACATTCAAGAATACAATATTTTTTAATACAACTTTTACAAAGTACAATTGTGTGCCCAAATTTTCCCAGCATTTGGTGCCCAAAATGGGGGGGGGGGGCTGCTCGTACGCCTATGCCTACTACACATCTGCCCACGCGCTATAGATAGTAAGGTAAAACAAATCTTTTAATCTAAGCGGGTAGATTATCTATGTTAAATATACAATTTGGGTACATTTAATCTTGGATTAAGTCAAGGACTTAAAAGAGTATTGTATGAAATAGACAAATAAGGGATTAACTTAAGAAATAGACAAACAGGGGATTAACGGCTTTAGAAAACATGCAAAATAAATGCTTGATTATTTATTATTGATTAGTTTCAGAAAGCTGGGGATCACGTGGCTAAGTGGGTAAGACGCTAGCTCGCTAGCCTGGAGGTCGGGTGTTCGATCCCTGCATTGGCCGAGAAAGTTCATCCAGATTTTTGGGCGTGGTTCTCCCTTGTCAGTGATGCAGGACAGAGGGTCTGACAAGGAAAGCTGTTTAGTCGTTCAGATGGGACGAAAAACCGAGCTCCCGTGTACACATTGGCGTGCACGTAAAAGATCCCTTGGCAGTTGGAATTCGATATAAGAGTAGGCCGTAGTGCCGCTGTCCGGGCAAAATTTCCCTCATAGCACACTGTATGGCGTATGCCCGTCTTCATTAGCCCAGGTTAGGAGCAGAACAGTAGGACGTTAAACTCCATTTCATTTCATTTCAGAAAGCCGTAAACAACTGAATGAAAAAGAAGAGAATTTCACAGCATTTTAAACTTTTCTCAGCAGACTAATTTTCAAAAATCTTGTTTCACACGATTACAGTAACACATATTAAGGATATATATCTATTATGTAAGATTTAGATCAAAGCTGACTGTTAAATAAAATTATTAAATGTCAATCATAGATCATTTCGGGACTAACATATGGTTCAAGTTTATTTCAATAATTCATGTGCGCATTGGGGTCTTTAGCAACGGGAGGAAATTGTGGGATCCAGAGAAAACCCATGAGGTATGACAGGTGCCCCTACTCCGTGTCACATACAACCGGGGAATCGAAACCATGACAGTTGACTCAATGACAGACTTTATGATACAACGTGCACGCACTAAACATTCATCCCCTCCCCCTCCCCCCTATTTCAATGACATTACATTCTTGTGTGTTTATTCAAATTATTTTATTCTTATCAAAGTTATGGGATTTCGAAGATCATTAATTATCGTACATGTACATGTACATGACAAATTAAACTTGGCCGCAATTATTCTTTTATCATTAAATCTTTAAATGGCCAAACCGTTCTGATCTACTTAAAATTGCATCGAGGATTGATTATGGTCTTGCTTTGTTAATAATAGACAGATTTAGCTCTTACGTAATACAACTTGAACTAAAAACAACCATTTCCGTTATCTGTCTTTAATTAAACCTAATAACTTCTACGTGAAAATACAATGTTTCTGACAGGTAAACCGTTTTTCAACTGGGTCTGATAATAAACGGATGTTTATGGAATTTATCCAACTATGAAATATTTGTCTGTTGATTTATACATGTACAGATGAGTTGTTATCATGGTGAAAGATTGTACAGATACCTGACATTTTGTTTAATTAAATCTCTCCCCCTGCCAAAAACAATTGAGAGAGAGAGAGAGAGAGAGAGAGAGAGAGAGAGAGAGAGGGTTTAACATCCACTCGACACAAACTAGGTCATTTCGGGACTAATACATGGTACAATTTTATTTCAATAATTCGCTTGCGAGTTGGGGTCTTTAGCAGTGGGAGGAAACCGGAGGATCTAGAGAAAACCCATGTGGTTGGACAGGCGACCCTACTCCTTGTCATCTATGGCCGGGGAATCGAAACCACGCCAGTTGACTCAATGACAAACCTTATGATACAACGCACATATGCTAACCATTCGGCCACCCAACCAGATATTTCTATGACATGCGGCTTGTTAAGTTAGAATTGTCCAGTGTTGTTTCTTCATGAAATGTTTTTTTTTTAAGAAATAAGTGAAATTTTTGCCCAGAAATTCAAATTCCAAATATCAAAGGTTCTTTTACGTACACGCCAATGTATAGACCTATACAAGATCTTGATTTTTTGTCCCATCTGAACAACTATACTGTATTCCTTGCCAGGGAACCATATCAGAAAATCCTAATGAACTTTCTCAACACAGGGATCGAAAACAGGACCTTCGATCCAATGTCTTATGCACTGAGTCACTACGTCTCCTGACAAGGAGAAATCCATATTAGAAAATCCTGATGAACTTTTTTAACATGGGATCGAACACAGGACCTTGAGGTTAGCGAGCCTACGTCTTACTCACTGAACCACCACATCTGGTTTTTAACTGACACAAACTAGATTGTTCCCATACATGAATCTGATTGAAATACAGAAGCAAAATATTGAAATAGAATGGAACAATGTTTGTCCCAAAATGACCTAATTTGTGTCGAGTGGACGTTGAAATCCATCTGTTTGTCTGGTATAACTCACATGTCAGTTGATTATTTTCACACCTATAATAATAGTGTGGTCAGTCAGAGCTATTCTAGTACTTGTACATGTAATTATGTTTGGCCCCAATCTGATTAAAATACAGGGGCCTGTTTCACAAAATTAAACTAAGATAAAATCCTAATTTTAGTAATTTGGTTGATTGGATAATATTAGATTGATTTTAGTGCTTAGTCAATCAAAATTAAGTACATGTACGTGTATCTACTACAATTTGGCTTTTTTCTTTAGCTAAGATTTCGAGAAACAGGGCCCAGATCTATATTTTCTTCTTTTTTTTTTTAATACTTTCGATGGCCTCAACTACATGAAGATGTGACCGGGAGTAGTGGAAGGTCGCATCAGAGGTCATAAGACTGGCTTTTGACCCTATGACTTCAGACAGTTGATTAACCAATCAGCATTGATGTTTCTAGTGGATTACCCACAATTCTGTGCACCACACGCCAAAAGCTTGCCATAACAGACCCTTTCATTGGCTAATCCATCACATCAATTAGAACTTGGGTTATTATATAAAAACTCTTCCAGATCGTAGTGTAGTAAAGACAAATAAAACATAATTTTGAACTATGAAAAAAGAAACGAAATAGGATCTGTGTTTTAATCAGATTGCATCATATCTAATAATAAATTTAATGTTTAATGTTTAATCTCCCAGGTTATAAACAAAGAGAGAGAAATGGGGTCTAACGCCCACTCAACACAACTTATTGACAGACTTTCTGATCCAATGTGCATGATATAAACATTCGGCAACCCACCCACCCCTGGATATAAACCTGGATATCATTTAATCTATATATATATTTGTGACTGTCGTTTGTCTGTCTGTTCGGGGTTGGCGGCTACACTAGGTCTGCCCCGAGTCTGAAATTTGGGGTATAGGGGTAGCTCGGACCGGGGAGTAACATTGGCCAGGTGGCGTTAGTCTACCACTTCCGGTTTCGGAGTTATGACCCCCGAGCGAAGTCTGTCTGTTCGGGGTTGGCGGCTACATCTGTCCCGAGTCTGAAATTTGGGGTATAGGGGTAGCTCGGACCGGGGAGTAACATAGGCCAGGTGGCGTTAGTCTACCACTTCCGGTTTCGGAGTTATGACCCCCGAGCGAAGTCTGTCTGTTCGGGGTTGGCGGCTACATCTGCCCCGAGTCTGAAATTTGGGGTATAGGGGTAGCTCGGACCGGGGAGTAACATAGGCCAGGTGGCGTTAGTCTACCACTTCCGGAGTTATCACCCCGAGCGAAGCCGGTCTGTTCGGGGTTGGCAGCTACACTAGGTCTGCCCCGAGTCTGAAATTTGGGGTATAGGGGTATCTCGTACCGGGGAGTAACATAGGCCAGGTGGCGTTAGTCTACTACTTCAGGTTTCGGAGTTATGACCCCCGAACGAAGCCGGGTATCCTGCTAGTCTTGTATATTTAGCACTAATTCCTTTCACATTCATTCAATATTGTTTAATGAAATCGTTTAAAATCACCAAAAATCTAATTTGTACTTGTGTCCAGTTTACAGCTGACTGATTAATTTTGATAATGAGTGTTCAATTTACAAGTACATGTATTTACATGTAATTTCCTGACCACTGTTCAAAAATGAATCATTATACATCAATAATCAATTGGGTTGTTTATTTTTAAACAGTGATCGAGAAATTAAACACTTGTAAATTGGACACTCATTATCAAAATTGAGTCAGCTTTAAACTGGACACAAGTACAAATTAGACGAATTTTGGTCATTTTAAACGATTTTTTTCTAGTTTTTAAATAAAGATTTGAGATTGAAAGAACATGAAAGAAATTAGTGCTAAATACACTAGCCGGGTATCCTAATATGGTAACGTCATTTCATCTTTAAATATCTTGGTTTTTTAAAAAGTGTTTAGTGCAATGATTTTCTGGTCTTGCCTGGAATATTTATCGCA